TGGGACAGTAATAAACTGTTTGATAGGTGTAGCACATGACAACGAGAGACACCGTGGTGTAGCAGCTAGACTACGAGAGACACCGTGGTGTAGCAGCTAGACTACGAGAGACACCGTGGTGTAGCAGCTAGACTACGAGAGACACCGGGTTGTAGCAGCTAGACTACGAGAGACACAGTGGTGTAGCAGCTAGACTACGAGAGACACAGTGGTGTAGCAGCTAGACTACGAGAGACACCGTAGTATAGCACATGACTACGAGAGACACAGTGGTGTAGCGGCTAGACTACGAGAGACACAGTGGTGTAGCAGCTAGACTACGAGAGACACCGTGGTGTAGCACATGACTACGAGAGACACAGTGGTGTAGCAGCTAGACTACGAGAGACACCGTAGTGTAGCACATGACTACGAGAGACACAGTGGTGTAGCAGCTAGACTACGAGAGACACCGTAGTGTAGCACATGACTACGAGAGACACTGTGGTGTAGCAGCTAGACTACGAGAGACACAGTGGTGTAGCAGCTAGACTACGAGAGACACCGTGGTGTAGCACATGACTACGAGAGACACAGTGGTGTAGCAGCTAGACTACGAGAGACACAGTGGTGTAGCAGCTAGACTACGAGAGACACCGTGGTGTAGCACATGACTACGAGAGACACAGTGGTGTAGCAGCTAGACTACGAGAGACACAGTGGTGTAGCAGCTAGACTACGAGAGACACCGTAGTGTAGCACATGACTACGAGAGACACAGTGGTGTAGCAGCTAGACTACGAGAGACACCGTTGTGTAGCAGCTAGACTACGAGAGACACAGTGGTGTAGCAGCTAGACTACGAGAGACACCGTAGTGTAGCACATGACTACGAGAGACACAGTGGTGTAGCAGCTAGACTACGAGAGACACCGTTGTGTAGCACATGACTACGAGAGACACCGTAGTGTAGCACATGACTACGAGAGACACCGTGGTGTAGCAGATAGACTACGAGAGACACCGTAGGGTAGCAGCTAGACTACGAGAGACACCGTAGTGTAGCACATGACTACGAGAGACACCGTGGTGTAGCAGATAGACTACGAGAGACACCGTAGGGTAGCAGCTAGACTACGAGAGACACCGTAGTGTAGCACATGACTACGAGAGACACCGTGGTGTAGCAGATAGACTACGAGAGACACTGTAGGGTAGCAGCTAGACTACGAGAGACACCGTGGTGTAGCGGCTAGACTACGAGAGACACCGTGGTGTAGCAGCTAGACTACGAAAGACACCGTGGTGTAGCAGCTAGACTACGAGAGACACCGTTGTGTAGCAGCTAGACTACGAGAGACACTGTAGTGTAGCAGCTAGACTACGAGAGACACCGTTGTGTAGCAGCTAGACTACGAGAGACACCGTTGTGTAGCAGCTAGACTAGTAAAGACACCGTAGTGTAGCAGCTAGACCCTCGCCTGCCGATCGAAAAGTCGCTGGTTCAGGTTCTGACGGAGCCAGAATTTGTTTCAAAAATGACCCTAACTCCCATATGGACCCAACCTTAAATAAGAACCAGGTAGAGTCCGGGGACGTAAATGTGGCCGGTCAGATGTTGACCACATCATCCACTGAGTGCCGATTGAGTGCAGTGTGGGTGAGTAATGAACTACCCGAAGGTCGGTCGGTCATTCTTCCCCTACTTGATAGTTGTCCGTGGGATTACCACCCTCAATGGCGAGAATCGAACACGAGCAAATCCCCTATAACCCAGTTATATTAGGGCACCCCAAAGGTTACCACATGTTGGTGACGGATCATCCCAGCAATCCAATGAACCGCATGTCGGTTACAAAGTCACAATGCCCAGTTCAGCGTTTAGCAACAAGTTTTTAGGGCGCCCCATAGCAGCTACAGTAATGTCTGCTCTATTGTAGAACAGTGGGACCCTAGCAGCTACAGTAATGTCTGCTCTATTGTAGAACAATGGAAAGCTAGCAGCTACAGTAATGTCTGCTATATTGTAGAACAGTGGGAAGCTAGCAGCTACAGTAATGTCTGCTATATTGTAGAACAGTGGGAAGCTAGCAGCTACAGTAATGTCTGCTATATTGTAGAACAGTGGAAAGCTAGCAGCTACAGTAATGTCTGCTATATTGTAGAACAGTGGGAAGCTAGCAGCTACAGTAATGTCTGCTATATTGTAGAACAGTGGGACCCTAGCAGCTACAGTAATGTCTGCTCTATTGTAGAACAGTGGAAAGCTAGCAGCTACAGTAATGTCTGCTCTATTGTAGAACAGTGGAAAGCTAGCAGCTACAGTAATGTCTGCTATATTGTAGAACAGTGGGAAGCTAGAAGCTACAGTAATGTCTGTTATATTGTAGAACAGTGGAAAGCTAGCAGCTACAGTAATGTCTGCTATATTGTAGAACAGTGGGAAGCTAGCAGCTACAGTAATGTCTGCTATATTGTAGAACAGTGGAAAGCTAGCAGCTACAGTAATGTCTGCTATATTGTAGAACAGTGGAAAGCTAGCAGCTACAGTAATGTCTGCTATATTGTAGAACAGTGGAAAGCTAGCAGTTACAGTAATGTCTGCTATATTGTAGAACAGTGGAAAGCTAGCAGCTACAGTAATGTCTGCTCTATTGTAGAACAGTGGGAAGCTAGCAGCTACAGTAATGTCTGCTCTATTGTAGAACAGTGGGAAGCTAGCAGCTACAATAATGTCTGCTCTATTGTAGAATAGTGGAAAGCTAGCAGCTACAGTAATGTCTGCTCTATTGTAGAATAGTGGAAAGCTAGCAGCTACAGTAATGTCTGCTCTATTGTAGAACAATGGGACCCTAGCAGCTACAGTAATGTCTGCTATATTGTAGGACAGTGGGAAGCTAGCAGCTACAATAATGTCTGCTCTATTGTAGAATAGTGGGACCCTAGCAGCTACAATAATGTCTGCTCTATTGTAGAACAGTGGAAAGCTAGCAGCTACAGTAATGTCTGCTCTATTGTAGAACAGTGGAAAGCTAGCAGCTACAGTAATGTCTGCTCTATTGTAGAACAGTGGAAAGCTAGCAGCTACAGTAATGTCTGCTCTTTTGTAGAACAGTGGAAAGCTAGCAGCTACAGTAATGTCTGCTCTATTGTAGAACAGTGGGACCCTATCAGCTACAAGAATGTCTGCTCTATTGTAGAACAGTGGGAAATAGCTAACAAACAAACAAACAACAAACAAACAACAAACAAATCCAATAATATTAAAATAAAAAAAATAAAAAAGATATTTCAAACTAAATAGATTTTAAAATGTTTTATTATACACAGTATTTTACCGTATACTTTTGTCTAAACGTTCTGTTTACTGTAGGTCAGAAACACCGTAGACAATGTGGAGTATCTAGCTAGCCATTATTACAGTTTGTTAAAGTTATTTGCGTATCCTTTACATGACGCTGCAGAACCAACCCCAGCATTTTTTGGCTGTTGTGGTTTTCCTAGGCAAGTTTACGTCCAGTAGTTCGCCATTGCTTACTGGACGGTCGGCTTCTTGATACCGCTGTCGAAACCAACGCAAGGCGCAAGACCTGCAGCTGTGATCGAACCCGGCACCCTGGCACTACAAAGCGCGTTCGTAACGCCTAAGCCACAGACGCCGACTTACACGTTGTACGATAGGAAAATGCTGCAGAAAAGAATATACATACTAAATAGTTCGGTTACTAATCCCTTCTAGGATTGCTGTCCGTAGAATTACCGCCTCACGGATGAGAGTCATAGAGAAGTGAATCCTGGGAGCGCCTTTTATACACATAATATCAACATTACTTAAGTAGAATTACGCAGTGAATCAGTTTTAAAACCTTTCCCAAGAATAACTTGATAAGAAAACATAAAGTTCTTAAATTATATTTTTAAACTATGTACATTATTAATTTACTCGTCATGCACTCAGTTAAAAAAAATTGAAAGTCTATTGATATAAATCATAAACACTGAAACTGCACAATCCGTGTCACGTTGAGGTCAAATCCGGTTGTTTCCAACAAATATCTCCGTCGGAGCACAATAATATGCTGTTTGTTTATCATGTAATTGCGGGCGGGTTTTGCTAGTCACACTCGCTATCGCCATGGTCTGTGAGTCTCATGCCTGCTCATAGCACAATATAACACTATCGTCTAGGAAGACGGAAAAGTACCAGTCATTCAAACATTCAAAGTTGCATTCGCCAGCCTGTGTCTAGAATTCAGTGTTGCCACTTTGGATGTTTTTTTTATAGATGTTTTCTACGCCCATTTATATGATTTTGGATATATTTTTACTCCGTTCTGGATGTTTTTTGTCAAAGAAAAGCGGCAACACTGGTCTAGATACTATAGGCCGAAGGCAACAGACTGGAAGAGTGGAGCAAAGCATCTATCTGGAAGCCGGGATTATCACAGGTTCTCAGTTCAACATGAGGCTCCGCGAGGGTCAAGCCGCGTATGGCGCCAACGTTTAGAACCTTTTAGGCAACAATGCGTTACTTCAGAATTAATTTGTCTGTTACTCTCCCTAAATGTGAGAGTTAGCGAAAATGTTTATAAAGTAGAACAAGTGTATGAAGGTAATTTCACGCCTTGTAATTTATAAAACAAGCGAAATATGAACGAAATAGACCAGAAATGCTGAGGAACCTGGCCATCGTCTATAAACCTATTTGTTGAACGTTACATTTATAAATTAGGATTTTCTGAAGGATTCTGGTCAATGTAAAAAGTTAAATAAATAAACATGAACCCCGTACATTTGCAATGATTTAAACAAATATCCACAACATGGCAACGTAGATACATACACTCACGACACAACTCAGGTACTCTCACAACCAAACTCAGGTAATCTGACAACCTAACTCATATACTCTCACAATATAACTCAGGTACTCTCACAACATAACTCAGGTACTCTCACAACATAACTCAGGTACTCTCACAACATAACTCAGGTACTCTCACAACATAAGTCAGGTACTCTCACAACACGCTTCCCGAAGAAGTACCATTCAACTGTCTACTTCCGTTAGAGCCGTAGTTGTTGAGGAACTTGAGTGTGCAGGCCCGTTCACGTGGAATGAACCGGCACTTGACGTCGTGGGTTGGTGGTAAGATTTCGTGTCCATACATGGTTTTATTTGGGAGTGTCCTCTCGCCGTTCAGTAGCTCCACCTTGAAGCTGTTGACGACGTTGATGATGAACCATTTGAGCTGGAGCATAGCCAGCTTCTGTCCAAAACACAAGGAACCAAATCCGGTCATTGGGTGTTTTACCCTGACGCCATGTTTGAAGAATTCGGCGTCAACAAAGCGGTCATACTTGAACGTCTGGAGAGGAGTCGGAAAATTGGCGTTAGAGGTTTCAATACACGAGGTCGCATTATTTTGTCTCAAACAGCAATTAAAGGCAGAGAACGGATTTAACGTTTGTAATGTCTCCTCTTTATGTTAGGCTGCCTCTTTATGGGCGTCTCCTCTTCATAACACTTTTTCTATTCATGTCATGTCTTATCTTTTTGCCATGTTTCAAATTTATGCTAGGTGTAAACTTTGTGCCAGGTGTCAACTTTATACCAAGTTTCAACTTTATGCAAGGTCTTACATTTGTACCAGGTCATCTATTTATGCCAGGAAACCTTTATTTTTCCTCCACAGAAACTCAGTCAGAATTTGCATCGTCTGAACCAGCCTGGCATCATAGTTATGTTGGGGCGATCATTACGTCATACACTCTGCTTCTGTAAATAAACTCAGTTAAGTAAAGGTCGCTTTTCCACGCCTTCGGGCGTTTAGGGCATATAGGTCTAGACTCCTACTTTATAGACCAATCTGTCATGTGGTCAACCTCATGCCGACCACCTTTACTTCCTAGACCTTTTGACTGGCACCCTCTGAGATAGGATCAGCCTGGGAGCCAAGGTCATTTTTTGAAGAAGAAAAAAACAAAAACAAAAACAAAGTCGTCCTCCGTCAGTACCCGAACTCAAGCCCTTGCGATCTGTAGGCCAGTGTCTAGCCGCTACTTCACCGCGGCTCCCGCCTGATTGTGTCGTTGGTCCCGATTGTTTGTCCTATAAAATAACAGGTGTAAGCCGATGTCCTCTAGAAAAAATATTAACTTTCAGAAGCTACTGTTAACAACTTACCTCTGGGTCCTGAAACACTTCCGGGTCATGGTGAAAGACGGGCGGGTACATAGCGATCCGGTCGCCTTGTCTGATGTTGAATGTCCGCCCATCGACCGTGGTAAATTTGGTGTCTGCTGTGCATTCCCTGGCAATCAGCACTCCACACATCACTCGCATGATCTCGTTCAAGAAGGAATCTGTGCAAAAACATCAAGATGGAGGTCCCAACAAGTCTTGAAGATGAGGCTAATCAAACCATAAATACAGTGTCAATGGCAATGGAAGCAACGTTAGATGTTCCCTTCGCAAGCGATGGATGGAGAATCCAAGTCTGTGAATACCAGAAGGTACTTATCGCATACTAAGGATGGCACGCACGTGATTTTTCAAAACCGGACGCTGAAAGATAGAAGAGGACGAGAGAAGAATAGACGATCGCGAATAGACGTCGCTGATGATGGTGACCTTAGTGGTCATGATGCCGATGATGATAATGATTATAGTGATGATGTAGACAGCGATAATAATGGCCATGATAATGACGGCAATCAGGATGATAACTGTCTTCGTCTTTGCATTATTCGTCTGCAGACTGTTGGTTTTTTGCCTCTCAAGCAGACGTTCTCCGACTTCAATTAGTCGACTGTTACGACATATTTAATTAGGGAGCAGCAGGTCTATAACAGCCCCCCACCCCCCAACCACCCTCCACACCCCCCCCCCCAACCACCCTCCACACCCCTTCTCCACCGCCATGAGGATGACACTGTTGACGATAATGATGATAACGAGGATGAAAATTATTTTCATGGTTGTGTTGACGATGGTAATAATAAATGCGTCTAAACCTACCAACAATGGGCAGCTTATTGATGTCGTCTGCTGTGAACTCGGCCTCATACTCAGCTTCGTTGGCGCCGGTTCTTTTCGCTTCCACAACATCCTCCACTTCTTTCTTGACAGCCGCCATGACAACATCGTCCTCCATCAGCTTGTAGAGACACCAATAGGCCACTCTGAACGTGTTGTAGTTGATGTGCAGGAAGATGAGGTTGTGGCAGATGATGTCTCGCTCTGATTGGCTGTAGATGATTTCGTGCAAATGCTTTTTAGATACAGTCTCGTTAAACTAACACTCGGGACAAACAAGAGAAATCGTCAGCAAGAAATGTTTATCGGAAGAAACATTTGCGTGTATGCGTGTGTGTGCGTGTATTTCTCTGTGTGTGTGTGTGTGTGTGTGTGTGTATGCATTTAGCATGCCTATCTCCACCTTTCCCAACATGCTCTGTGAGAGTTACACATGTATGTAAGCTGATTCTCAAGCCAGCGGAAGGGAACTGTGAATGCCTCCACCTCCATGCTCAAACTAGACGTTGTGATATCATATCCCAGGCTTTGCTGCACTAAGCGACGTCCATTCGCTTTTGCTATAAACCCCCATGCACTTCGTCTGCCCCTCAACACAGAGCCATCTGTATAGATGATCACATCACCTGGGCGGGAAATGTCATAAATCATTTGTTGAACTTATGATTCTGCAGCACCGGCTGGCCAGTCCCGGCACTCATGACCTCAAGTCAAAAGAACCCTATGTAAGTCTAATTCTTGCTCGGACACTTTTGACTCCTCTCCTCGCCCAAATTTATCACGCCTGCACTCATTTCTGATTGTGTCTTTAGCTTACGCCATGACCTTTCTCTTTTCAGTCTGTGACTCTTAGCTCTACCTCCATAGCATGGAGGCTCACATATTGGACATAGCAGAAAGAGTAGTAAGATGGTTTTCAGATTGGACATTGCAGGAAGAGTAGTAAGATGGTTCACAGATTGGACATAGCAGGAAGAGTAGTAAGATGGTTCACAGATTGGACATAGCAGGAAGAGTAGTAAGATGGTTCACAGATTGGACATAGCAGAAAGAGTAGTAAGATGGTTCACAGATTGGACATGGCAGGAAGAGTAGTAAGATGGTTCACATATTGGACATGGCAGGAGGAGTAGTTAGATGGTTCACAAAATGGACGTAGCAGGAAGAACAGTAAGATGGTTTACAGTCTGGACTGGACGTTCACAATTTAATTACGTATAACATATTGTTGAAACTATTTAAATACCAAACAAAAAAGGCAAAGGGCTGTTTTCATGAGCGGTTTGCACACCTACCTTGTCATAATAAACAAAATGATGACATCTGAGTTAATTGATAGCTTAAGAACGTTTCCTTAATTTTTTTAAATTCTATTTCGTTAATTCTGAGGCGGATCGTCAGGGTCTTGCCATGTACTCAATGGGGGGGGGGGGGGGGGGGCCTTGGGGGTCTAGACGTATATTCAAGGTGGAAGGGGGGGGGGGGGTTGGACATATACTCAAGGGACCGCCACTGAACAAAGTTGGAGACCACTGACCTTGGACTATTTTATTCCTGCAAACTGTTTTATCTCTCATCTGACTGTTTCTATTGATAACAAAAATACAAAGACGATTCAAGGTGGTTATGCCAAAACATTTTCCCAGGAAATTCAATAAATGCATACATACTTGTTCTTTAGCATAAACTGTGTGGAATGTTTGATGTAGTCAGAACAGCCATTCCGATTCACCATCTCAGCGCTGGATGGCTGCTGCGCTAGAACCCCGACAGCTTCCATCGCCTTGGGAAACAACTTGATGGGCAGACCGAACAACAGGAAGTTGAAATATTTGTGGAAGAGATCAAAGTTTTTGTGGACAACTTGAGGGTGGAAACTTCCAGAAGACCCTGTGTCGCCTCGGCCGAAGATTGTGTAGAAGACAGGAGAGAAGAAAATCTTTGAAGTAAAGTTCCTAAGCTCGTCCTGGCACCAAACACCAGCCCCTGGACCAACTTCTCCTGTTGGTAGTCCGGGCTGCTGATTTAACCCAGAATCAATGAACAATTCACTGTCTGCAATACTGCCACATTCTCCGCTGTGATGAACTTCCTGTTTGTCAATCTTCATTTCAGTGTTTTTCTGATTGATTGCCGTAATATTTTTCCTCCTACTACAGTTGTCTGTCTGCTTCGATGTTTGTTTAAACGCTTCTATAAGATTCTTGGCGAAAGTTTCCACCGTCGCAAACAAGTATTTGCCGCTGACTTTCTGTCCTGCCTCGGCCACCATTTTCCTACCGTCTACAAGGTGATAGCCAAAGACATTGTTGTTGACCATCTCTTCGATTGGTTTAAAATCAAAGTTTTTCTCCTTGACAAACAACTCGTAGCTGTGAATGTCCAGCACCATTGTCCAGTACTTGTTGAGTAAACGAAACGTGAAGACATCTCCAACTTTGTCGCGAGATTTATTGAGAAAATTGACGGCGTTCTCCGTAAAGGGTAGACTGTTGCCCAACAGGAAGTGACCATGGACGATTGGAGGCTCTCCGGGCTTTCTGGGAAGAAAAAGTGTGTCATTATGTAGGGGACACTTACATTTACATGTAAATTACATTCTGCTTTCATAAGCTAAAATATTTTGTGTTGATGCTGCGTAACAACATTAAACTCTTTAATTGAACGTGACGTCTCAGTCAGCTCACTTCTGTGTCCCTTGACGCTAAAGTCACAACTTCTGAACAATCATTATTTCAAACCCACTACCAACATGGCAGGGCAGCCGCAGTCATGTAGCGGCTAGACGCCTATTTGCGAATCGGAAGGTTAGGGTTCTGATGAAGCTAGACGGTTTTTTTTTTCTCTTTTCTTAAAAAGTGACTCTGGCTCCAGCCTCAAATGTGTATCAAGAAACGTCACGGGAAGTAAAAGATGCCGGCATGATGCTGACCACATCACAGAGTGCTGACTTGTCTACAACATATACGTCTAGCCCTATATGCCCAGTACGCCCATTGATCGTTTACTTTACTTTAACCAACACCACAGATATCTCTGCCTCTCGTTTATACAGATAGACAATTTTCTGTCTCACGTATCTACAGGCATATCTGGCCCACGTGTATACAGACATCTCTAGCCCACATATATACAGACATCTCTAGCCCACATATATATAGACATCTCTGGCCCACGTACATACAGACATCTCTGCCTATCGTATATACAGACATCTCTGGCCCACATATATACAGACATTTACAGCCCTCGTATATACATACATCTCTGCCTCGCGTATATAGAGAAATTTCTGGCCCACGTACATACAGACATCTCTGCCTATCGTATATACAGACATCTCTGGCCCACATATATACAGACATTTACAGTCCTCGTATATACATACATCTCTGCCTCACGTATATAGAGACATTTCTGGCCCACGTACATACAGACATCTCTGCCTATCGTATATACAGACATCTCTGCCTATCGTAAATATAGACATCTCTGCCTCACATATATACAGACATCTCTGCCTCACATATATACAGACATCTCTGACCCACATATATACAAACCTTTATGACCCTAGTGTATACAGACATCTCTGCGTCCCGTATATACATACATCTCTAATTCACGTATTTACAGACATTTCTGGCCCACATATATACAGACATCTCTGGCCCGCTTATATACATACATCCCTGCCTCACCTATATACAGACATCTCTGGCCCACATAGTGTATACAGACATCTCTGCCTCTCGTATATACATACATCTCTGCCTCACGTATGTACAGACATTTCTGGCACACATATATACATACATCTTTGGCCCGCGTATATACATATTTCTCTGCCTATCGTATATACAGACATCTCTGCCTCTCGTGTATACAGACATCTCTGCCTCTCGTATATACAGACATCTCTGCCTCTCGTATATACAGACATCTCTGCCACTTGTATATACATACATCTCTGCCTCACGTTTGTACAGACATTTCAGGCACACATATATACATACATCTCTGCCTATCGTATATACAGACATCTCTGCCTCTCGTGTATACAGACATCTCTGCCTCTCGTATATACAGACATCTTTGCCTCACGTATATACAAACATCTCTGCCTCTCGTATATACAGACATATCTGCCTCTCGTACATACATGCATCTGCCCTACATCTATACAAACATTTCTAGCCCTCGTGTATACAGATATCTCTGACCCTCGACGTACCTGTATAATTACATATGTGACATACTGTACCTGCCACATAGAGCACTGAGGTCTATATGCCCCTGTCAGTCAGGCCCCAGTGACCTCTGGACTGCTGTCTTGACTTGGGTAAAAGTGACGTTAGTCTCCCAGACCCCGCCCATATACATACTAGCTCACTTCTGATTTTTGGTTCCTGAACCTTGTTACCCCAGCACAATTATTCGTCCGCCTTTGTTTCCCCCTTTAGCCAATGTTGAATATCTAAATCCTCCACTCAAGGCCCCCCCCCCCCTTTTCCCTCGCCCTCTCCCGTTAAATTAGTCTTTTAGTGTATGGATTCAATACATGTTGTTTTTTGCACTGTCTATTTGATCGCATAGATCTTTCCCCCCACTCTCTTTATCATATAGAAGCTCACCGCCTAGAGGAGTGACAGCAGCCTATTTATCAGCATGCTCGTTATCTCGCACACCCTAAAATCCTGGACAGAAAGTCCACAATATGCTTTTGATCTTATCAGGTGATGCAAGCCCCTCTTCGCGCACGACACAAGTTTCCGTTTTCCGAAGCATGCGCTGTGAGTTAATTTTTAATTGGTTAATTTTATGCGAACTAATTGTTACAACAGAAACATAACGTATGCTCACCGTCTTCTATAGAAGATCCTTAAGTATGCGTAGGTCAGTGCCGTAATCAGGCCACCCAGCAAGACTGTGACAACCATCATTCTGCATAGGCAGCGATGTCCTTTCTGCAAGTTTCGGAAGTTACTGGTTTATAAATCCGTACTCTCAAACTGTACGCGGCCCGACTGTGCTATTTATACTGCGGAGAAGAAAGTACAATTGAGGTATTAAAAGCTGCAGTTTTTGGAAGGGCATCTATTAAAATCTAGGCCCGGCTCTCTAGCGAAGTTAGTTAAACCTGACTTTCGCGGCTGCCGGGTGACGAACTCCTTGTGGTCCGGGCTCACTCCCGGGGGTAGACAGAAAAGCCACATTTCTCCCAGATTAACGGTACCTATAATGGAATCAATGCCGAATGGTTGCGATATCCATAGTATCGAGCCAAAGGGTTTACAACTCATGGTTTCTGGATACGTAAAAAAAAAAAAAAAAATCTAGAAGCGGCGGTTGTGTATGGGAAGCTTCAGCAGAGGAGATGGAATAACGCTTGTGAAGGAATACTAGACCAGACAGTTGCAACCAAGATTTGACCTATAGTCCGCTCCAGAAGTCGTATCCATATTTAAAAACCTATAACTCAGCAACCACTAAGTATAAGGTGATGAAATTAAACATGCAACCTGTTCATAATCATGTCCTTGTCAGAATAGATTTTTAAAAATGTAAACAGAAGTCTAGTTTTTATTTTGACTTATGCACTGTATATGAAAATAAAACAGTATGAGTCAAATCAAACAATCAGCACGCTTATATTTAGCTAAGGGGGACTTTTCGAAACATCAAATTGCACGTGTTTCATACGCGTTTCAATCCCGTCTCCAGTTTATATACCTATGCTTGTGTCAGTTACCGTAAATTAGATTTTTTAGGACTACACAGATCATAAACCACAGAAAGATCAAAGAAATTCGCCACTTCGGGAAAACAGCAGAGCCTATGCAATTGTAAATAAAAAAAAATCTTCAGGACTTGGAAAATCTAAGACCACATGCACGAATTCGAGCCGGACAGAAGTCTTCGTTATTTTTGTTAAAGGTTTGAAGGCAAGACTTTTGAAACGCACTGTAGTATGTTTAGAAATTATAGACCAGAAAAGACGCTAGAGCAGCGACGTTCTTGTTTTTGTGAGACACTATCAACATGCAGCGGTGGTTTTGTGTAGACAAACCAAAACCTGGTTCAATGCAATGGATAATTTCCATCTATAATCAGATTAGCAAGGGCTCATAACACGTGTTGTGAAGAGACTTACCTCGATCATCCATCTCCCGTTGCTAGTCACCAGTTATCGGTCTTTGATGGTGAAATCAACGGCTTGCGAACCAAGTCCTGATCTTGTCAACTTGTAATCTGTAAACGCAGAACAATGAAGTGAATTCTTCACGAGCTTTTCTATAATGGACACAAAAGACCAGTTGCATCCACCACCTAATAGGATATAAATTATACTAGAGTGGAAGGGGGTGGAGTTTTCACCTGATAACTATAGATTTGATTGGCGGCAAACGTTTAGCCAATGAGGTATTTCCTTCCGTAGGAAAAGTTCGAGTTTCTGTGACGTGTTTATTTACAGTTATAAGAATAAACAGATAAATTACAGGCAGTTTAAGTGCTCTAACATATCTTGTTATCACTTTGCGGGATGCAATTTTTAGTTTTTTGAAGCCCTACTCTGGCACTTGCCAAGGGCCGCAATATAGCCAGCCATAAATGTAGTGTAGGGGTTGAACGAGGTTGCTTGGACCTCTCCACCACATGGTGGCACTTTGTGTCATCGGGTATTTATCGCTTGTGTGATGTCCTGGTGGGGTTAAAAAAATAGATAGAGATAGTGCCCTAATTGTTATGTGGTATACTGAGGGCCCCAATGAAATAAGGAGATGTGGAAGCGGTTGATTCAACCACTTAGTCAATAATTCAGTATAATTCGGGCCTTTGCTGTTTTACTCATTAAAAAAGCAAAGAATAAAGAGGTGTTATGCAAAGGTGGATGGCATATATTAGGCTGTTGTTGTTTGAGCTCAAGTGAGAGGTTCTGTGGTCATGGAGTTACAGAATCATGAAGCCGGCATTGTTTGAGCTCAAGTGAGAGGTTCTGTGGTCACGGAGTTACAGAATCACGAAGCCGGCATTATTTGAGCTGACCTTTTCTCGCCCGTGTCATAGAAATTAATTAAACTGTTGAGAGAGAGAGAAAAAAAAAGGAATGGGTGGTATGGTTGGTTCTACCTTTCCGATCTCATTGTTCTTGAATACCTTTCCTGCACATACTTGAGTGTTCAACTTCTCTAACAGAAGGCAAACACAAATTACCTCAGCACAGCACACGAACTCCTTTCTACCGGCGATTTTCTAAAATACATATATATATATAAATCTTAGCTATAAATAATACTAGGTGCACATTTCTACTGTGTGCCCGTACAACGGCCCACATGGCCTGCTCCTTATGGCTTGTGAAGGTCAAGGGCTTTTAGTTTGTGAAAACGCATGTAAAACTTCTTACTTTTGTTATTTGTTAATGTTTTGTAGTCGTAAGTGCAGATCGTCGAAAGTCGCATAGATCATATTTCAAGGAGTCAATGTGTATTCAGATGCAGTTGCGCTCCTCGTGTTTACAGCATAGCTGCGATATTTTCGCCTTTTGATCGACACTTTCAACATGGCAGGCCTTTGTTACCCAAGTTAACCTCCCCAGCAGCCATTTTGTAGGAATGAGATCAAACTCTCAGGCATATTCACACACAAGTGTAATATTAAGTTCCTTATTGATCCCGAGGTGATCACAGATTAAAAAAAACCACTGCAATATTTTAGACGCAATTACAGGGACATCGCCAAAGACAGCAGCCACAAACAACAGCTGTAAAGATGACCACACATCTTCAGTTTACATAATAAAACTGACAAGAAATGACAAACAGCATCTGGCTTATATAATGGTTACTTAGTGGGTGTTTGGTTTACGACTGGATGTTGGTTAATGATTGCTTTGTTTGTTGGCTGGCTTGACAACCGAACACGGTATGAGCGGTGTTGTGCAGAAGGCGGGGCAGGCTATCAGATATCATCAAAAGCGTCTCGATGTTGTTGATAGGTTTGGTCACTGAACATCTTCCATGACCTGCCGCCAGCTCCTCTAGGGATTTGTCCCCGGTCACATAACTCTGTTACACGATGTGATATGTGGCCTTTCTATGTGGGGATATGTGTCTACCAACCTTCTGGCCGCTCTCTATCTACCTTTCTCTCTCTCCCTACCTCCATTTCTCTCTCTCCCTTTCTTTCTCTCTGACTCTTCTATTTCTCTCTGCCAGCCTCTCTATCTCCCTCTCCCTCTCTCTCTCTCTCTCTCTCTCTCTCTCTCTCTCTCTCTCTCTCTCTCTCTCTCTCTCTCTCTCTCTCTCATCCCTATCGAAACCACTAGAAAAACACATTCACAAAATAATACTCCAACACTTAGATCACAACGAACTTATTGTTGACAACCAGTCAATATTCTTGTCATACTGCCTTAACAAATATGATAGAAAACTGGCATCATAATATTAACGAACTAAAGATATGTGGTGCAGTGTTTATAGACTTTAAAAAGGCCTTTGATATGCCAGACAACACTATTCTTATCAGAAAGCTGGTAACAATGAAAGTGAGTTCCAACCTATTAACATAACTAACATTTTTTTTTTTAAATTAAATAGAAAACAAGTTGTTTCACATAATAAATCTATATCACAGACTACTGCTTTAAATACTGGAGTTCCTCAGGGTTCTATTCTTGGCCCCCTTCTATTTACAATTTACATAAATGATCTGACTTTAAGTCTGTCGTCGTCGTGCGATTTATTCGCTGATGACTGTACCATCTATTCAAATGCTCGAACGTGTAATATACTAGAGAATTAAACAATGTAGGTAGTTGGAGCTACGCAAACCGCATGCAAATCAACATAAGAAAGACCAAATCTATGTTAATAACAACAAGACAAAAACTGTGCACTTTAAACTCTCATAGAACCCTTCAACTCTACCTAGGTAACACATCAGTAGAAAGTGTAACTGAGCACAAAACATTAGGCCTGATCATCGATGGAAATCTTACCTTCAACTCCCACATGCAAACACTTGTTAAGCAAACTGCTACAAAAGTATAGCAACTATCAAAAATTAAAAACTTTCTGGATGAAAACACTAGGAAATTATTCTATACTTTTCATATTCAGACCCACATAGACTATTGCTCCACAATATGGGATGTATGTGCAAATTCAGTTATCAAACGACTAAAAGCACTCCACAGAAGTGCTGATCGTTTAATAGCTAATAGTCTTGGAAGTGACTGTTCGCACCTATATAAAGAACTTATGTTATTACCGCTCCAGGAACGCCTACTATTCAATAAAGCTTAACTTATTCATAAAATCATATCTAAAAATGCTCCATGTTATCTTTGGCCATTTTTTAAATACAGTGGAAGACTAGCAAACGCCTCAACATATAGCATATCTCTAAACCTATAATAGACCTAATCAAAACAAGCTTAGCGTACTCTGCAGCTCAGCTGTGGAATAATCTTCCACCGGAAATAAAAAAAATATCAATAACCCCTTTAGATACAATCAGAAACTATTCGAATATTATCTCACTACAGACTTTGTGCTCCCTTAAAAGATTATAGTATGTTAAGGCTATGATGTATTTCCATGAGATGTCCTAATATTTTTTTGGGGGGAGTGGGGGGGGGGGGGGGGGGGGGGTTAAACTGACGGTTATTATTGTATAAAACTGAAGATGCCAGTCGAATGCACTCCAATGTTTGTAACTAATATTTAATTCGTTTTGATGATGCTTATTTTATGCAACCTGTAAGACTTACATCATTTTTGGAATAAGCTTATTATTATACTCTTTAAAGCGTTCAAGTAATGTCAGTATAAATTAGAGAACATTTCAGCATGTGTATTTAAGACTTAGATATTGTAACCCCCCCCCCCCCCCCCTATTATTATTATTATTATTACTAGCTGTACCCGGCCAAGCG